AAAGACTTTGAGGGACTTTAGGGAAAAACACATATTTTCAATCATTCTGGAAGAAAGCTATTCATTCAGCTTTCATTCATCGGTGGAGCACGTTCTATGTGCCTGGGACGTTTCTAGGCACTTGTAGATCTTTGGAGAGGAAAAAAACTCTCTGGTCCTGTCAAGCATGGATTCTAGCAGAATCAATTACCCCCTTTAATTCCCTGTGCACAGAGAAGGAAGCTAAAGCTTTGAGAGGTGAGGTAACTTACCTAAGATTATCCAGACAGAAGGAGGTAAAGTCAGAATAAGAGCCCATACCATCTGGTTCCAGAGCTCCTGTTCTTAACCCACCACTTCTCAGTTGCCTTCGCCATTTCCAGCCTTTTTCTTGCTCAAAGTTCTATTAATCTATGTCTTTGTGGATTCATATTTAAATGCAGTCAGCTGGACTTTCTTCAGTAGAAGTCTTTATGTAGGTAGGGTAACTTTTTTAAAAAAAAAAAATTGCATCTGTATTTTTTTCTCTCTGAATTTCACTATAGGAATTTCAGCCAAGAACCTACAGTTACTAATTTATTTGACCTCACCAAAGTAGATAGAGAGGGTATTATCATATCCATTGACTGGATGAGAGCCTGAAGCTCAGGGATATAGAAGAAGTCAATGCTAAATCTGTCCAAAAAATTCTAGGCTGTTCTCTGCCAAATGTGACATGACCTCAGACAAGACATCCAAGGTCTCTGACCCTTTCTCTTTCACCACCAACAAAAGAGTTTTTAAAACTATGAAGTGCTAAACAAACTTGGCATTAGCAGTGTGTCATAAATGTTTGTTAGAGGGGTCTCTAATAGGTAGGTGGTAGGTGATTTTCACTCACTGGTGGGTGATTTTCACCTGATACAATGCTAAATTTCCATTCCTTTGCATAATTCTGCTTGAGGATCATATTTTTTCCAGCCTTTGTTGCCCTCAAGGTATGTGGGAATTTCTCTCTTCTATGTTGTGCAAACCCATTGTGAACCCAAACATACAAACTTCATTAAAGGAGTTGGTGAGGAGAAGGGCATGAGTACCAGGAGCTAAGGTGTGCAAGAACAGAAAATGAATATGCAATAATGTACAAGGTAAAGAAGTTGTACAGAGGTAGAAGGAAATACTTTTATCTAGGATTGAGAAAGGATCAACTAGTTACAGCTAACTGTAAAAACTATAATGATATGATGACTGGTTGTGTAGTGTCTAATGCTATGGGATTGTGCAATAGAATTACGTTGGATGCTTGGGGGAAAAAATAGAATCTTGTGCTTACTGAATTAGAAACTTTGGACATAGAGCACAGGAACCTGGTTTTTGGTAAGCTGTATTTGGGGCATGTAGTCTAAAACTTTGCTACTCAAAGTATGGTTCCTAAGCCAGCAGCACCAGCATCATTTGGGAGCCTCTTAAGAATGCAGAAACTCAGACCCAAGCCCAGACCTACTGAATCAGAATCTAAATTTTAACTAGTCCCCCATCTGATTTCCTCTACACCTTACAGTTTGAGGAGGACTGGTTTATAGCATCCCTTTCCTGTTATACATTCACCTTATCAGAAAAAATAAGTCAGCATGACAAGAACTATTCCTAGTGAACCCATAAGGGATCTAATTAGAACTCTGTTTCTATTTCCAACTTTCTTCTTAGTCCAATGCTCTAGATGTCCATCATCCTCTGATAAAGGATTACAAAATATCCAATTAAAAATTTCTCCTAAATTTTGTGGACACTCAACATCTAATTCACGGACCATCAAGTATTTCAAGTGTTTTCAAAATTCACTTTCAAAATGTTTCTGACAAGTTTTGAGGGGTTGGGGGCCACAGTCCAGAGTTACTACAATGTATTATTGTGGTAAAGAACATGGCTCTTAAAAAAGTGTTTTTTGAAGTTATAGATTTTTCTTTAAATTGGTCTCCTCAAGTGGAATCAGGGTGTTTTCTAAGTTTGCCCATCTCCAGGTCCTCGTTTGCAAGAACAATATGTGATCTACCCCAGTTTAGGGGGAACTTCTCCAGTTGCCTTTCTGGGGTTAGGAAAGAAAGAATTGTCTTCCTCTAGTCCAACTATTACCACTCAATTAGGAGCACTACAGCTAGTATAATGCTCGGATTTCAATGACCACTCATTATTATAACAGACAAAGAAATTTTAAAGAAATAAAATTACTTTCAAATCTACCACCCTGACAAGTTCATGGTCCACACACATATGAAGTTAACTTTACACATGGGCTTGCCTTTTAACTTTCCTTAAGATTATATCAAAGTCCTTTTTAATATCATTATAGACTTTCATGCCCACATAATATTTCAATATTAATATACGTATGTAATGAATCTACTACTCTTGAACATATAGTTGGATTCCAATTTTTCATTATTAGAAATAAACTTTGAAAGCTAATTTTAGAGACTCTAGCAATTCAATCCCAACAAGTGACAGTTGTCCTTAAAGAAAAGGAAAAGCTGGTCCATGGCCAGGGTTGCATTGCTGACTTCCCTTAGCCTCTTCATAAGTGTATGTCATTAGTCACAAGAGCAAACAGGCAGAAAAGTGGAGGGAAAACTATATAAAACTGATTATTTTTATCTTAAAAAAATCAGCTGAAAGTACATATTCTACTAATGGACTCAAAAGTATCATTTTCATCTCTGAATTTGTATAAATAACATAGTTTAAATATGTTATTAATATATATGGGTTAACTTCATTGCACTTAAAGGTCCTGAGTTACAAGCAATCCATGGGTTACATAGTAAGGCCATTTCCTGATTAGATGCTTGCACTAGGGTAGAGCTGAACAGAGAGTTAACTGTAGCATAACATTTTAATACAACTACAATTTGATTACAGTCTCACATTCTGCTTTAGAATGAGGAATCGAAAACACATCCATCACTTAGAATCTGCTAACCTTTCCTTAGATTCTACTCTGTCCAGCCATTTCACATAGAACTAGCCCAACCTCTGACTTCTGTTTTCCCTCCCCTGTTTTAATCCCTGTTGTTGTCCCCCTCATAATGGTCACACTCATTTGGTAGAACATCAGAAAGACAGGAGAAGCCTCATGGAGTAGCCTGATTTGAAGGTAAGGATTTCTCTGGAGCTGAGGAAAGTACATTCCACACCACGGAAAGAGCAGAGAGGCACAAAAGTTGAGAGAAACATGGACTGTTTTATATTGCCAAGTAAAAGATATATAAAGGACAGGGACAAAATAAGTTTGTTTTGTTTTGTTTTGAGACAGGGTCTCAATCTGTCACCTAAGCTGGAGTGCAGTAGTGTCATCACAGCTCACCAAAACCTCAAACTCCTGGGCTCAAGCAATCCTCCTGCCTCAGCCGACCAGCTACCAGGTAGCTGGGGCTACAGGTGTGTGCCACAACGCCTTGCTAATTTTTCTGTTGTTTGTAGAGACAAGGTCTTGCTCTTGCCCAGGCTAGTCTCAAACTCTGACCTCAAGCGAGCCTCCCACTTTGGCTTCCCAAAGTGCTAGGATTACAGGAGTAAGCCACCGTGCCGAGCTGAAAATAAATTTGAACAGACAAGTTGGGTATCAAATCATGGAGGACTTTGATTGGCAGGATAAAGGGTATGGATAACAGGAAGCTATTTTAAGCAATAACCAGTCAAAAGTAGATTTGTGCTTCGTGAAGATTTACCAGGGTAAAATGGATGGAAGAGAGAAGCAACCTGGCAGAGGGAAATGAATACAGCCCTACCAGAATGGTTCAAAGGTGGGTCTGAATGAAGAGGCAGCAGTTAGAATGCAAAGAGGACATGGTGTAACACAATGCAGAGAAGAACAGAAAACCACTGTGAGAAGGGGACAAAGAAAGTGATTCTCGACAAGTTGTTCTGAGGAGAATCCCCTTCCTGGGTTCTAAGTCCTACAAAAACACCACTTTGTTATGAGACTTTCTCTGTTCCCAAGGCTGTCTTCGGAAAAAAAAAAAAGTAGCCCTCAGGTATAAAACTGACTGAAAAAATTGTTTGAATTTGGACACCAGTGCTATGATTGAACTGGAAATGTGCCACTGACTTTATCAATGCATTTTAAAAGGATGAATAGGTTTTGTTTTTGACCAGATGCTCCCCAGTTTCCAAATGTCTGGCCACCTCTATGGCCCAGAGCAGCCAGTTCCTAAACATCTGTCTGTGTCTCAGTGATTTGGCTGCTTGGCCCCAGCTTGCCCTAGAAGAAGAAAAACCCAGTGGGAAAGGTGTTGTGGATGGTTTTCATCTTCTTGGAGAAGCAGAGATAACTTATAAACAGAGAATGAGAGGTGGCTGGAGTGAATTGTAGGTTTGAGTAGAGTTGAGAAATGCTGTATCAGAGACTATGGTAGGACTTACATTTAAATTTTAAATTGCTGGATAATTGGGCAATAACTAGTAAAACATAAAATATGCATACTTATGACCCCGCAGATTCATTTTAAGTGCCAATGCTAGACAGATACTCATAGCATATAAGTATTCTGAGTACGATGCATATCAGCATATCAGAAATACTGGAGTATATAAGGAAGTATGTACAAGGGTATTTACTAAAGTGCTGTTTATAATGGTAAATAGGAGGAAGGAAACTACCTGCACATTGTATGGGAATAACTCAGTGAGCACTGATCTAGCCATACCATGGGGAATTCTTGAAGCAGTTAGATAGAACGAGGTATACCTATTTCTACTAACAAGACAAGAACCCCAGGAAGCTGATGAGTAAAAATACAACTGCACATGATATTACAACATGACACATGTTTTAGAGTTTGGATAGAAAAATGATGGGACTGGCAAGATGCACATCTTTGGTAATATAGATCCCATCAAGGGAAGTGGAGAAAGCAACAGGATTGGATTGGATGTAGTAGCAAGGAGAACTTTAGTCTTACCCTCCAATGCTTTAATATTTACAAAGAGAGCACAAGTATGTAATTTATCTGAAAATGTTAAATTTGTTGGTCCTAAAGAGTTACCTTTTTCTTCATCAAATATCATATTGTAGACCAAAGACATCTTTCCTCCAAAATGATTGGTCCTTAAAAAAAAAAAAAGAAAAAAAGAAAAACTCAGGCAATGGTTTAATCCAAGAGTAAATGGTTGGATAACAATACATAGATAGGTAGGTAGATATATGGATGGATAGATAAACCAAACAACCTGTTTCCATGGCCAATCTCCATGAAAGCTGCCAATTTTCTGCATGCTTACCAAGGCCACTCTGTTCCATATAATCATGGAGCCTCCACAACTTAAATAGTGTGGCAAAATAAATATCAAATGGCATGCTACTGGATTGCCAATGCAGGAAAATTCTTGCATATGTCATATTTAAAAGGAAGTGTGAAACATCAGGAGGCTGAGATGAGATCCATGAATGGAGCGATTTAAAATCAGAACTAAATAATCTAGATTGAAATTTATGCACTGAAATATTTTTCTAGGTTTAAAAATCAGTGAAAGCAAATTATTTTCTAAACTAAAAATGATGTGTACCTTACCTTTATATCAGCTCCAATTTTACAGGACAAGATAGAGGGAATACAATTTTAATATAGTTTAGCAGATAATGATTATCAGCAAGATCTTTTGCTCCCTCAGGACTTTTTCACTTAAGAACTTGACGGGTGTTTGGGGTAAAGTGTTTGTAAGAGAGATTCTAACACATGATGGAAAAGAAAATATCAACCATTATGTAGCCAAAAGCTGGATTAATCTTTCATACAATTCAAAAGAGAATCAGAACATGAACCCTAAAAGACAGTCCAGATATTCTGAAAAATGCTAAAATAGCTCTACTTCTAACAGGACACTTTGGTGGATTTCAACGATTTTAGTCACATTATTTGGATTCCTTAATTCAGAAGTCAAGTTTTAATGTGCATTGTTTTATTTTTCATATATTTAAAAGTAATAACTACCTAAACGGTTTCTTAAAAAAATATTTTGTTGAGCCTTAAGTTGAACACAGTCTGCATTGCTGAACATGTGAGAGTCACTCTGGGAAAAGGGTGTTTAATGAATAACTTCACAGTAAAAGGCCTTGGAAACTTCCTCTAAACATTAGACCCATGCTTTCTTTCTGAAATACATTAACAGCCTCCAGAAGGTTCATAGATGCTGGCAAGCCTGTTAGGCAGACTTCAGAAGTCCCTGACATTTCGTGTGCAGGGAAGGTGCCTGCGCGCTGCCCACCCCTCCCCCACCCCTCCCCCACTGGGGCAGTGTTTGGAGATCGTGTTGACTGGAGTTCTGCTAGGGAAAAAGATTGATAAAGCAAAGCAATCGGAGTTATTTCCTATGCATGAAATTGATTAAATGCTTCACTAAATGGCTTATAAATTTGCTTCTCATATTTCTGTCACCCACTGAAAAGATTACAGAAACTCTGCATATAACCATGTTGTATACAATACCAAATTACAAAAGGTTGTAAAAACTAATGTTTTGTTTAAAGTTTTGAGCAGGACCATATGCCTTCAGTGACCTTGAGTAAGCTATTTTAATTCAAAACATTTCAAAGAATATAAAGGGGAGAAATATTCAACTACATAACAAACCAGACGAGTGGTGGGTAGACCTCGGTCAGCTATCCTGAACTTCTGCTCTTTTCTGCCAGGGTGCAGAGTGAATCCTGTCACACAAACACCTTGTGTCTGGAAAGCTGGGAAGCACATGTGGTGTCAACAGGGATATATTTGCAAAGGAGACAAAGAAAGGGGGCTTTAAGACCTCCCCTAGTTGAATTTGCTCTATTATTTTTAGTTCAGAGACACATCTTAAGAAGTTCTGAGTCTTGCAAGAACATGTAGGACTATGTAGAAAACATGACAAACATTAGCACGGGTGGTGGGATTGTTTTATTTTGGGATTTTCTGTTTGTTTTTAATCTTTACACATCTTTCAAACATCAGTTAAGTTCCGTTCTTTCTTCCATGTGAGAATTTCTTCTAACTATTGTGCAACAATTGGGAGCGTAAAGGCAATTTATAGGCGAGCAGGTGACCTGCAGATGTTCCTTGGGAAACTAACCCCTTTCTTTACATGGCCTTAAAAGTACCTGCACTGCTACAGGAAAAATGATATTCTTTCATAACATTTATAAGACATCATGTCCCCAGCAAGAATTAACATTTGGCATTAACACACAGTTCTGGCCGTAACTTCACGAGAAGAAATTTTAAAATCAGCCATTGTGCTTAAAATTATCCTATTGGCCTGACCTCTGTAGTACCCATCCCCAACCTCTTATCACCTTCAGAAATAGCCAGTGTGGGGACAAAGATGGCTGCCACATCCGTGGCCATCTGGAACCCAGTGAGGTGGAAATGACCCAGGCAATACTGTCAGTGAAGGGGACAGAAGTACTTTCCAACAGCAGGCAGATGTCTGATGCACATCTGCTTTTGCATACAATTTCTGGGAACATGGAAGGAGTTGCAATGGAATTATCCATCATATATGAAAGCATGTAATCTCACTAGTAAAACCTAGGTTTCTCTTTCTTTTCTTTTCCTTTTTCTTTTCTTTCTTTCTTTTCTTTCTTTTTCTTCTTCTTTTTTTTAATGAGTACCTGCTCTGGGAGATGTGCCAACAATTCAGGGATGATTTAACCAAACCATCAACAGCTGGACAAGTTTTTAACTCTTTGGTGGTGGTTTCAGGAGCCTTCCTATTGGCATCAAGCCACCACATAATTAATCCTGATGCCAGACACACGGAGTTCAATAAATTACAATGAAGGAAAAGGTTCCTTACTATATACAACACATAGAAGAACTAGCTTTTACCCATAGGCATTTGCCTTTTGAAAAGATATGAATTGATGTCTCTTGAAAGTTCATTCCTGGGAACACTAATTCTTCAAGATTATCCTTTATAAAAAGGGTCTTGGTGATCAAATCCATCGGGCCTTGCCTCTCTTAGAGATTCACAGTGCATAGAGGCTTTGGAGAGCCTTGCTACAAACAATCCCATTAACTCAGTTTAACCCACTGTTTCTCACTCGAACCCAGATACCTGTTTTTGTAATAATGCTTAGAGCCATGGAATTGTTCTTTGAAACATACTCTGGGGAACACTGATTTAAACCTACTGCGTGTCTGACAGACTGATCCACCAAAGAGGTGAATGTTTAGCCAGCTCTGAGCTGCCACTTTAGGGGACTCTTGGCCAAAAAAGACAAGGCCTTAACTCCATGCAAGAAGGCCTTTGCCATTCCTCTTCTGATAATATGCCAACCTTGGGCTATGCACACTCTCCTCTCCTAATCTAATGAAAGGCATGTTGCATGTTCTGCAGCCATTAAACACACAAAAACAGTAGCCCTCACTAACCTATACAAAGGCCCCCGGGTTTCACAAATGGCATTGAATGCCCAGATGATTATTAGTTATACACCAAACAAAAGCTTCGCATACATAGATTTTTCTTATGGATTCTTTTCTTTTTTCCTTTTAATATTACTTAGAAAGTCACCCTTTCTATTTTAAATAATCAACAAAAGCTAAGTTTATTCCTCCTATTTTATAATCAAAGTCACTCATCCATCAAGATCATTCAGGAAAACGTAGTGGTGTGCAAGTGAATGAGAGTGACATGATTATGGAGTTTATCTTGGATCCACTATAATTTAATTTTTTTTTAAGTAAATCATTTGCAAACTTCAGCACTTTAACTAGTGTGAGTAACAAAGCACCCACGAGGGGCCTCCGAGCTGATAGATGACAGAGCTGTGTTGCAAAGATCCGTGGTGAGGATCTTTGCTCTGCAGCCGTGATTCTCAATCTGTAGAGTGCGTCAGAGTCACCCGGAGGCTGTGTTAAAACACACACGGGGTGGGCCCGATGCCCAGGCAGTTTCTGTTTTAGCAGATTGAGGAAGGGGCCCGAGAATTTGCGTTTCTAACAAGCTCCCAGGGGCTGCTGCTGCTGCTGATCTGGGAACACGCTTTGGGAATTACAGCTGTACTGCAGTTCCCTAACCTGCCTGATCAAGATGACCAGGAACCTTTGTGAAAAACACCAAGCACCAACCCTGCTCGCCTACTCCTGGGATGGAATGGCTAGGAAGGAAAGTCGGGAATCTGTATTTTGAATAACTCCCCAGGCAATTCAAATCATCCAGCCGGTGGGGACTACTTGAGCAGAAGTAGAAGAGGGGCCCGCCTTTTCGATCAGGGGCTCGGGTCTCGGACCCCCGCCTGCCTCTGAGCACAGGGTCTCCCCCTGCTAGAGGACACTTCAAAGTGCAAGAAGGCTGAAGACACGTGAATGCCTCCTCCAATAACTTGTCCGGTAATTGGTATATTGATTGCTAATGTCATCATGTTTTAGTATATATAAACCCCTCACTCTATTACGCAGCCCCCAACAGTCCAAAAAGTCATTGTTTATTCATTGTGACTCCCAAACTAGCCCTTGTCAGCTCCCGCTGGAGGGCTCGCTGATAAAAATCAGCAGATGATTGGACGCACACATTCTTAACATGACTGACCCATGACATCTCAGAGGGCAGCGGAGAGCCTGTCATTACAGTACAATACTTTTCTTTCTTCCCTCTTATCTAGCCCAGATGACTTTGAGATTTTTATTAACTCATTAATGACTGAAGATGTCATTAGAGCCAGTGGAAAGGGTTTTTTAAAATTTTCTTTCTCTCTTTGTTTTTAAGTGGGAATAAGCGTACAGTTTGCTGTGGATGGGGTTGGGCTCATTGATGAAGCAGCTAAGACAAGTCAAGTGGAGAGACTCTTGTATTTTATTAGAATTTGAAATCTGATTGACGGGTACTGAAAATCTGCAGGCATAAATACCAAGTTGCTTCAGAAACATGTTGGGGAAGAACAGGGCAATTCGATAAAGGAAATAGCAACCCATAAAACCCAGCAATTTTTATTGCGTTGTGGACCCATTCTTTCCAACCCAACAGCTAAATAAGAAATAAATAAAAAAATCACAGTAAGGCTACTGAAACCACTAAATGTTTCCTAACCTACAAATTCATTAGGCCATATCTTGTTTCTGCGTGCCTTTAATT